CATTGCAGACTCTGTGTGAGAATTATAATCAGAACGAGGACACTGTGGCTTTAAACTTTGCCTGTTTCTAAACATAAAAATAAAAATTTGATTAGTACAATAACTGAAGGAGTTATAGTCATTGAGTGGAATGTACAAACATACGGACCAGTATTGTGTGTTTTATTTAAAGCAATAAAAATTATGAGTCACACTATTATAACAGCATAATAATGTGTTTTAATTGGCACGTCACATCCAACAGAGATAGTCTATAGACACATCAAACCAGATTTATGTGGTGGGCTTTCAAACAACGACTTCATTTGTTGGTTATATATTATCAATGTGGGTCGTGGAGATTGCTAACTTTTTGATTGATATCATGGATCTATTGTTGTTAAGCCACCATTGAAAATCTGGAAACACTGAATGGCTGTTTAATTCTAGTGCTACTTAGTGAATGGCTTTGTGAAGGAATTATCGGAGTTCTAGTAAGAAGCCGTGCTCAGTTCGGTCCAATCCGTGTCAGTCAGAGACAAGTATCTATTCTAGACACTCGGAGATGGTCGCAAAATATCGTGGATTGGTTGAAGTTGAACATTAACACCGTTGGATACCGGCTCAGAGGTCTAGAGGTTAAGCATAAGTGCGTGATTAAAATGGTTCAAATGGTTGTGGACGGAATAGAAGAAGCTTTCGCTTAACAGGCTTCCGTGTCTAGTAGCAGGGGATCACCAAATCCTCCAGGCAGGAACCTAGGTATGTTAACAATAAAAGAGGAAAAGAAATTGGTAAATCATAGTATGATACTGTCCTTGGTCCTTAAGAATAGGTCAAGTCGCCTCTTGAAGGACTCCTGAGAAATCGCTTGGACTAGCTCGGCTGGCAGCAAATTCCAGCTTTTGACAACTCTTAAGGAGTAGAAGTTGTGTCTACATTCCGTCTTTCTATGTTGAGTTTCCAGTTTCTGGGTGTTACCCCTTAGGTTAGTATTCGAACTAAGCTTCAGTAGGTGTTTAAGAGGATGTCCAGAAGTGTTAAGAATACTATAAGCCATTAATAAATCACCTCCTATACGCCTATACTCTAATGGGTAAAGGTCTAGTGAATGGAGGCGTTCTTCGTAAGGCTTAGATTTGAGTCCGCGAACTGATTTCGTGGCTCGCCGTTGGATACGCTCCAAAGTGATCTTGCCTTTTGGAGTGAGGGGGGGAGTACTATATTTCCGTACTCTAAATGGGGACGGATAAAACTATTGAAGATTGTATGGAAAGTTCTTCCGTCAAACTGGCCAAAAATGCGCTTCAATGTTACCAGTGCAAGGTTAGCTCGGAAGGCATTTTTGTCACAATTAGTGTAAGACTTTAAATCATGGGGCACCAGGACTCCTAAATCTTTTTCGACTTGGGATACTACTAGAGAGGAATTTCTTAAGTTATAACTGTAGTCTGCGACATGTCGCAGATGGACTACTTTACACTTTGAAGTGTTAAACGTAAGTCCGTTATCGTCTGCCCAACTTTGAAGTCGAGTCAGATCCTCCTGAAGTGCCTGTGTATCGTCTTGGTTGCGTATCTCTCTCCAAAGTTTCACGTCATCGGCAAAAAGTAGTAAGTCTGACGTTACCTGTTGAGGAAGATCGTTTATGTAGATCAAGAAGAGGAGAGGCCCTAATACTGAGCCCTGGGGAACCCCACTAGGACATTCCATAGCCTGAGATAAAGTGAAATTAACCCTAACCTTAAAGTGTCGATTTTCTAGGTATGAAGTAAGCCAATCGATTAGAGGTGGTTTGATACCTAGACGTTTGAGCTTATTGATAAGACACAAGTGGTTAACTTTATCAAAAGCTTTTGAGAAATCAAGGTATATGATATCAACCTTTCCCTTGCGATCGAGGGTGCTTGTCCATCTGTCCACCGCAGTCAGCAGGTTGGTTATACAAGATTAACCCTTCCTGAAACCATGCTGTTGGGGTGAGAAGAAGTTTACGGACAATAGATAATCGTTTAAACCATGGCATATCAGGGACTCCATGAGTTTTGAAGGTAATGACAGAAGAGCCACCGGCCGATAACTTGAAGGTTCATTGCGTCGACCCCCTTTGAAAATTGGTGTGATGTGAGCCAACTTCCAATTTTCCGGTAGTTTGCCTTGGCTTAGCGAGTGTGAAAACATCACGCTAAGCGGATGCGTATGGCGTATGGCTGAGGAGTCCCATATTGGGACGAAACTGCCGTCCATGGCTTCTGGGTTTTTAAAAATGATCTAACATCGATCGATTGATGATCTCGATCAAAAAAGATATGCTCATAATAATGTTCATGATATTTCTGGGCAATGCAGCATCTATTCGTTTGTCAGCAAGACTTTAGTCCGTCAGGTTATTTTTTAGTCATCAAATGAGAATTTCTTCAGGCAAAAAATACAGTAGGTATTTTGTATTAATTCTTTATTAGATTCATTTTCTTGTTTCCTCTCATTTTAGTGAACGAGTTATCCGTTCATTGAACATTGAACTTTTAGTTCGATGTTTGAAATTTAGATAGTGTTTTCGCGATGATGAATAAGATTCTGATTGTCATCAGTCTTGTGTTCTTTATTGTTATGTGAAAAACTTTAGAAATCTTCAAATGAAGCACTAGATGACTAAGACACTGTAAAATTACAATAAATTATTCTTAAAAACGATTTTCAAAATCTCCGAGCTGCCAATTTTGGGGAAATTTTCGAGAAGCCGCTATAGTTAACTTTTGGGTAATTTTGGGGAAATGGCACAAATTTTTCCCAGAATTCCCCAAACACTTGTGAAGGACATTTGACTTCGTGAGTTTCCCCTGAATTTCTCGAAACTCGTGAGCTCGGGTAATTCCATCTAAAAATGAACTGCAAGGCCTAAAATCTGCAAACCAAACATACAATACATCATGCACTCAGCATCGTCAGTATATTGAACAATAGACCGAGAGTCCTCATTTGAAATGGCTTGGGACGTATTTTTAAGTTTACACTTAAAAGTTACTGCACTACACATCCCTTGAACTACACCAACGGGGCTGATAAACTCTCCACCATAATTCAGTAGGGAGGTTCGCATCCTTCTCCGTAAGAGAACAAAAATGCGTGATAGATTTGCGTTACTGGGGACTGATGAGACAAAATCTTGGTATCGAAAAGCTCGTAATACCTGTGCCTCGACTCTACGTAAGTCTACCCGAGCTCCCAAATTTGGGGAAATGACCAAGGTAAAAGGGTTAATCTTCGAGAATTCCCCCAGGTCTGAGGAAATTTAGGGGTTTTTGTGCCATTTCCCCAAAATTACCTCAAAGTTCACTATAGCGACCTTCCCGAAATTTCCACAATATGGGTCAAAATTTCCCCAATATCGGGCTTTTAGTAATGTCGATGCTAAAACGTTTTTGACTTTGTATACAGTGTTCGTACGTCCTAAACTTGAGTACTGCATAAAAGCGGCTAGCCCCTGTTTAAAAAGAGACATTGAACTTTTGGTAAAGGTTCAAAGAACAGCAACTAAGCTGGTTCCCGGAATCGCGAAGCTCTCGTGTGGTGCTCAACTAGCCAAGCTTAACCTATTCTCGTCATCATATCGAAGAACTAGAGGGGAATTGATTACAGTTTTCAAATTGATTAGTGATAAATTCGCACCAGATATGCCCTCATTTTCATTGTCTTCCAAAACAGGGAATTTACGAGGACACTCCAAAATGTTCACAAGACCAAAACAAATTACTTTTCATCTGACTATCGACTTTTCCATCGAATCATCAACAAATTTTTTACCTCAGCACGTGGTCGAGGCTCCATCCGTCGACTCTTTCAAAAGAAAGTTGGATCGACTGAGATATCACCATTGCCAGGACTAACAGAGGCCATCAAACCTCTTGTCCTTTCCCAATTGAAAATATGTCTACGACCCTCCCTTGAATACGGCTCTTTTGTCTTCTCTAATATGAATATCACAGACAAGATAAGAGTAGAAGATGTTCAAAGACGTTTCACACGTCAATTACTAGGATGTAACTCGGATCTCGATTACACAGACAGATGTAAGCATCTATCTTTAGAACCTTTATGGCACCGTAGGCTAAAAAACAATTTAATATTTCTCTACAAAGCGATATACGGGCTCTCCTTTCTAACCTCCTGCCTGACTATTACCCACGACCCAGCCTATAAACTTCGAAACAACGTATATACACTACTTACCGTAAAACACCAAAAACAAATGCGTTGTAAGTTCTTTACAGTACGGTACAGTTTATTGTGGAACAGGCTGCCAATGCCTATCCGTAACTGTGATACGTTTATCAGATTCAAAAGGCTAATAACCCTATTTCTAGATTCCAAAGAGCTTCAACATTTCCTTGAACTCCCGCCCACCAATGAGGCCCATTATTACGGACCACCTAGTATCTAGAAAGAACAAAATTATAACAAGTCCGACTGTTACTAATATGAATATAACCAAATCACAATATATGGCTTATCCTTTCCTATTACTCATTGTTTATTAATCATGACTTTGTAACAGCATAGGTTGGTTGGTTAAGAGTTGACCCCAAACAACCAAGCATATGCCAAAACAGTATTGTTCAAGTATTCATTCACTTCCTTATTTTGTATAAGCGTTATATTCCTTATTATCTTATATTGAATGCTGAAAGCCTTTGTTTGTCTGAACAGATAATCCCACGCTCCACAGTGACTGCGCTAAGATCGAAATAAAGATTTCATTCAATTAGTGTCTGACTTCTTCTATCAATAACACGAGGGTTACCTATAGGCACGAAACTGGTGAGCCCTTTTTGAACACAAATTAACCTTATTTTTGTTATTAATATTATTTTTTTTTACTCAATCGTAAAAGTAGACCTGATAATCCGTAAACTCAGTTGGGTATATAAATAGTTTATTTTTTTTATTATCTTAAGTTATTCGTGTCATAGAAACCATTTTTTTTTCGTGCTAATTTTGTTGCTATATTTGTCACATACCTCATGTCAGACTTAAAAGAAACCCATAATCTGGAGGATTTGTCACCAGTGGAGATAGACACTGTTATGACTACGAAATCTCGACTTCCAGAATTTGATCGTAGTGATCCTGAGTTGTGGTTTGCTCAACTCGAGCATTATTTCACGAGACACAATATCAAATCTGAAGGGATTCGCTATAGAGATTTGTGTTCTATCCTTCCTCCTTCAGTCGCCAAAGAAGTCCGTGACTTGATTTTAGATCCACCATCACCACAACCGTACACCGTCTTAAGACGAGAGATAATGAACCGTTTATCATTATCAGATAGTCAAAGAATCCAAAGACTTTTTCAAGGTGAAACACTAGGTGATCGGTCGCCGTCACAGTTTCTACGTCACCTCCAAGTCTTAGTGGGTGATAACACAGTGGGTGAAGCAGTCCTAAAACAAGGATGGATACAAGCTCTCCCATGCTACGTCCAACATTGTTTGGATGCACAAGATCCTGAAACCTCATTATCTCATTTAGCGCGTATAGCTGAGAGAATAATGGAAAGAGGTCCTCCAACTGGATCAGGCACAATAAATCACACACAGAAAGTAGAATCAGCAAAAGACCCCGTCATAGAAGGACTCATTGCGAGTGTTAAGAGTCTCACTGAGGCTGTCACCAGAATGCAAATGGGTCATACAAACAGGAACAGGTCACCACAACGATCACGATCCAAGTCACAAAATAGGTCACAAATGTCCAGACAATCTGGGCAGTTTTGTTGGTACCACTGGAAGTTTGGTGTCAACTCAACCAAGTGCAGGCAACCATGCGCCTGGCCTAAGCATAATTCCAAGACAGCGGGAAACGAGTAACCCCTCCCCAGGTCGCGACAACTGAGGAGGGGCGCCTAAACAGTCGCTTGTTTTATGTCAGAGACAGAAACTCGGGCTTGAATTTCTTGGTGGACACTGGCGCTGCTCTTAGCATCATCCCTCGAAATAAAACTGAGATTAGTCGAGAAACATCCCCGATTACACTTCAAGCTGCAAATAAAACTACAATCGCGACATTTGGGCAGAAAACGTTAACCCTAGATTTGGGGTTCAGAAGGCAATTCCCTTGGGTTTTCACGGTAGCCGACTTAGATCTGGCAATACTGGGGATGGACTTTCTAGAGAGATACGAATTTCTTGTTGACACCAAGAAACGGCGATTAACACTAAAAGAAACTTCGTTTTACACAAAAGGCAAAGAAAGTCACATCAGCTCTCTTAACTTGATTCAAACCCCTCCAGTAACAACAGCGAAATTCCAAGATATACTCGCGGAATTTCCAAACTTAACCAAACCAAACCCACAGCCTTCCAAAGACAAACTAAAAGTAAGTCACACTATCAAAACCGAAGGTGCACCGGTGTTTGCGAAACCCAGGAGACTAGCACCAGATAAGCTCAAAATCGCTAGAGCCGAGTTTGATTATATGCTACAACTGGGTATTATCCGTCCGTCTGATAGTCAATGGGCATCCCCTTTGCATATGGTCCCAAAGAAGAATGAAGGTGACTGGCGACCGTGCGGGGATTACAGAGCCCTCAACCGTCAAACCGTACCAGATAGGTACCCAATACCGCATATCCAAGATTTCACAAACGGTTTACAGGGTATGAACATATTCACTAAAATTGACTTAGTCAGGGCATATCACAATATCCCGGTGGCTGATGAAGATATCCCTAAGACAGCTATTACAACACCCTTTGGCTTATTCGAGTTTGTACGCATGCCATTCGGCCTGAGAAATGCGGCACAGACATTTCAAAGATTCATAGATAACCTACTTCGAGATATGCCATTTGCGCAGGGGTATATAGACGACTTGTTAATTGCCAGCCCCGATTTGCAATCACACGAAGAGCATGTACGAGCAGTGTTGACAAGATTGAATGAACATGGAATAAACATACATCAAAGTAAGTGTGTTTTCGGTGTTCAAACTTTAGAATTTCTTGGTCACACAATAAGCCCAGAAGGGATTAAACCTATAAAAAAAGAAGTGGATACCATCAAACAATACCCGATACCTAGCTCTCTAACACAGATGAGAAGTTTTCTAGGTCTAATTAACTTTTATCGCAGATTCATACCAGGTTGTGCACAATTAATGCAACCTTTAACAGATTTACTTAAAGGAAAACCAAAAGAATTCAAACTCTCTTCTGACGCCGTCGAAGCTATTAAACAGCTTAAAGATAAACTGGCTCAAGCAACTACGTTGATATATCCGAATTCTCTTTCCCCACTTGCTTTGATGGTGGATGCTTCAGATAAAGCAGTAGGCGGTACCCTTAACCAACTGGTTAAAAACGCCTGGAAACCAATTGCTTTCTTCTCGAAAAGACTCGCTCCAGCTGAGACAAGGTATTCTACCTTCGGACGAGAACTTCTTGCAATCTACCTGACTATTAAACACTTCCGACACATGTTAGAAGGTAGGGAATTTATAGTCTTTACGGATCACAAACCACTGACGAATGCATTAAAAGCGAGAGCCGATAAGTACTCACCTCGAGAAGTCCGACACCTTGACTATATATCACAGTTCACAAGCGATATCCGACATGTCAAAGGTCAGGACAATCAGGCGGCAGATGCTTTATCCAGACTAGAAATGAACGTGGTACAGCAGTCTACAGTAAACTTCGAGACGTTGAGACACGAACAAGAGCAGGACCTAGAATTACAAAACCTACTCAAAACAAACAATTCAAGTCTTAATTTAAAACAGTTCCCATCACCTATCGATGGTATTCTAATTTACTGTGACACGACCAAGGCAATGCCGCGACCTTTCGTTCCCAAAAATATGCGAAAGTTGATATATAATAACTTTCATTCTTTGTCTCATCCTGGAGCAAAAGCTTCAACTAAACTAATCAATGCCAGATATATATGGCCGAATTTACAGAAGGATGTACACAAATGGGTTAGAGAGTGTTCAGCATGCCAACAATCAAAGATTAATCGTCACACAAATTCACCCATAGGTGTTTTCTCGCAACCAGATGCACGTTTTGCACATGTGCATATCGACTTGGTAGGTCCTTTACCCCGTTCAAATGGTTTTAATTATCTTTTTACATGCATAGATCGATTTACCAGATTCCCTATAGCCATCCCGATAGCGGACATCACAGCGGAAACAGTAGCCAAAGCTTTCATGCAGAACTGGGTAACCATTTTTGGTACACCCATAACAATAACGACGGATAGAGGAGCGCAATTCGAATCCGAACTATTTAATAACTTGGCTAAACTTCTAGGCTCTAATAGGATACGCTGCACTGCATATCATCCTCAGGCTAATGGGATGGTAGAACGTTTTCACCGTCAGCTAAAAACCGCCCTTATATCTCACTCAAACCCCAATCAGTGGACAGAATTCCTACCTTTAGTTATGTTGGGAATACGAACATCTGTCAAAACTGACGCACAATGTTCAGCTGCGGAACTGGTTTTCGGAACAACTCTGAGACTACCAGGTGAATTTATTAACCCTAATACTAACAGTCAAAAACTTAATTTAGAAAATTACGTAGATCAACTACGGGACCATATGTCCAAACTTAAACCAATTAATACTCGCGAACAATCGCGCGCCGTATATGTACCTAAAGACCTAAGCAATTGCACGCACGTCTGGATAAGATGTGATAAAATAAAATCACCACTCAGTCCTCCATTTGAAGGTCCTTTCAAAGTCGTCTCAAGAAAATCTAAATATTTCGTGATAGAAAAACATGGAAACATCGACACAATAAGTATTGATAGGCTAAAGCCGGCTTATCTAGATCATGAACCACCATACGTATTGTTAGATCGTATAACTGACAAATCCATTACGGAATCGAAATGTAAAGATGATAAATCTTTACAAATGACTAAAACGGTCCGCTGGGCACATCCAATTAGTCAGTCAAGGATGTTGACAGTTTCGGCTGCAGGATAAAATCTAACCACGTAGCTAATCAGACCCTGCATCTACTTAGAAATAATTATTTTTCCTCATTCCGCCTCACCTACAACTCCCCAGACCTTTTACCTTTAATATATAAGTATTATGTTAAATATTTTTTTTTAATACTGGACACATAAGCTAGGTATTCCGAAACGATGGCTGAGGATTTTAATCAAACTCATACAACTAACACTGGCAAATACAACGATATCAAAAAGCAACCCAGGCGAGTTTTATAATTTCTTTTCTGGTTAATTAACTATGTTGGCTGTACTTATTATATATCTATATACATTTTTCACGCAGACTGGCTATACATATATACCATATGAACTACTTCTAAAAGTTTTCGGTCGAAGATATGTTTAGTAGCTTGATACGATTAATACTACTATTAATAAGTGGTTTTCTAGACAAAACATTTTGGATTAAACCATGGCCAAGTACTTATTAAAGTTCTCATAATTTTTTTTCATGTTTAGGAAACTTATGTAATGACTTAACCAGTTTTCCTGCAGCATGCTTTTTAGTGTGATCATATAACCCATCTTTATTGGCAATATTCAGATTTTTTTTTTAAATTCTGACATTTAAGAATCAATAACCGTGGAAATATAGTACAGTGCGTTACTGTAAGGTTACTATGTTAGCCGCATTGATTCCGCATACCTAATTTTAAACACAACTTATAAAGGAACTCTTAAGTAATCATAACATTGAACTAACGATATGACTATCATAGCTATGTTAACGTTAAACCAATTATTATTAGTGGTCCTGACAAAACCCTGGAACTCAACACTAGCGTTATAAAAAAGACATGTTATGTCAGTAACTTTTATATATATATATACTTTTTCTCTCGGTTTAAGTATAACGTAAAATGGAAATCACAAAACTTGTAGATTTTTTTTTCTCTATAGTATTATTAGTAATCCAAACAAAGAACGTGTACTGTTCCAATATGGCATTCTGATATATCAACCAGTCCTCCTGTTATTTTTCTCTCATATCTGAGCAACTTATGGCCAACAAACATCGTATTGAAGGGGGTTTCGATGAACAAAAACGCATGACCCACACGCACTCGAACCTCAGCCCTTCTGAATGCTAGACCGCGTACCTAGCCATTAGGCCACATCAGACCACGAGGGGTGACTGCAATCTTTCCTTTTACCAATTATTCATTCATAATACTAATGAGTAATAGGACTTACACACTTCTAAGGTGCAGACAAGTTCGTTACTTTGATTAATTGACGAAATATTGCCTCAGTATATCATACATATTTAAATCAAACCAGAAAAGAGTATTTGACACAACTGTACTTGATCCTCATACTCTACACAGTTTTCTCTCCTCTTTAACCGTATATTCTCTTCCGTTTTATGGAGTAAAATTATGCACCCTTGGTTACGTACCTGGTTAGAAAAGGCGGTTGTCACATTCCCAAGGTCACACATTTGAACGGGTTTGACAATGAGTCCAACTTCTAGCAAGTTTACACTTTTACATTTATACATTATAAAAAAGGATTTTATTTATTTTCATACCTTTTCGTACACAAGATGGCTACACTATGTCTATTTTCTTCCAGAATACCAATCCGTTCTGGAGGCCAATCACTTACGTGGAACCGAACAATTATCAATTATGTTTATGTATTTACATTTTGTATCTTATTATTTTGATGCAGGCAGTGGAGCGGTTCTTTAGGTTTGATTGGTTTTCACCATTAACTTTGAAGTAGATTCTTCTTTACTTTTTACTTGAGGGCGACTCAAGAGGCAGGTGAGTAAACACCTGATAGCCGGTCTGAGCATGGAAAAATCGTACCTCACCAACATGGTGTTGGGTAGCCCGCTCGCGGCACTTCCTCAGATATTCTTATTCCACAGTTTAACACTCTTTCTCATGAAAGCACTCAGTAAACCGTCAGCTATAGTTGTAGAAGAAATCACATGCTACTAAATAAGATGACAAGTTAGTAAATGAAGAGACATCCATGGACTACCGTTGTCAGCGTTAGTTGCCACTTATTGTAAGTCAAACATTGAGTGAGTTGATAACTTTCCCTTGGAATGAGAAATAGAACTAAGGTGTTTTTGATAGATAGGTTAATCGAACCGACGTTCCTACGGAAGTCGATTCTAGGGGGAAGCTAATGTAACAGCATAGGTTGGTTGGTTAAGAGTTGACCCCAAACAACCAAGCATATGCCAAAACAGTATTGTTCAAGTATTCATTCACTTCCTTATTTTGTATAAGCGTTATATTCCTTATTATCTTATATTGAATGCTGAAAGCCTTTGTTTGTCTGAACAGATAATCCCACGCTCCACTGTGACTGCGCTAAGATCGAAATAAAGATTTCATTCAATTAGTGTCTGACTTCTTCTATCAATAACACGAGGGTTACCTATAGGCACGAAAACTTCATGCTCCTAACCCTAGCTTTCAGTTCCCAAATCTCTACAGGTTAAATGTACATTATTCTTCCTAAAAGTCATGCCTTTTTTTTTCTACTGCAAGTAGACAGATAGCTCAATCTTATAAATGCTGATCTACTAAGGCCGATCATTCAAAGCTCAAAATTTGGCCAAAAAGTCTTGTGAGTTTCTCAATGTTTTATTTGTCTTACCCTGAAATCTTTTTTTTCTACAATTTTATACCCTCTCATATCTTTTGATTTGCTATTAGTCCTTACCTCTTTAAACCATTAGTTATTTTTATAGCAGTGTGATATACTATGTGGACATCTAGCCCATAAAATAGACTTTTCAACTATCTGATTTGCTTGTAACATGGACCTAGTAGAGACAGTGTATTCCAACTATGGGCTTTGATTAAAGCAGTATTCATACTTACCACAAACGTAAGAGAGCCTAATATCACAAAAGGAGGGCGGGTGGCGTTACTGACCAGCAAACATGAAGGTGGGGAGATAACTTTAATCCACCCATGTCTGTAGGGCAGAACATTTTGTTTAATTACGGCTCCTCATGGTTTAGTGGGATGTCACGAACTTATGGTATTGAAGCTGATTTATCACGCGAAATACCTCTTTAAGTCGTGTTACGAACTTTGAATTGGTTTCACTTCCTACCCAGAAATCCTATTACAGGCAAACTAGACAATTCGCTAATATACGAAGCCTAATCAAGACCCTATAATAACTGAGGGAAAAAATGTTTTTTTTAAAAAAACGAAAGGGGGTCCAATAGCTTCGATAATAAAGGGAAGACAGCCAATTGTATATCACAATACTGTTTCTAGCACCATATGTTATTTTATAATCACACATAATCTTATACTCTCAGCTCTTTTCCGAATCGCCTCCATTTGTCAGTTGCATGTCCACTCACACCTTGTCAACACTTATTTTCTTTGACCTATTAAATGCTCTTTTTTAACATATACCTTAAAGGAAAATTAAACTGAGTAATCATACCTTAAACATTCCTTCATGAATATTGGCTACTCTACCTCTCGAGTTTTATTTTAATTGCTCCCTCTTTCAGCCCCCTTGAGATATGGAACTGGTGACTTCATCCTGCACCATTCTTAAAGCCTTGGATATCCCAAAGGGACATAAGGTTGCGATTTCTAAAAGCTCATACCTTCAATGGACTTATCCTTGACCATCAGTCGCACATTCGCAACGCAACTTTCATGAAGCGCGCCAACTGTGGTACTGATTAAAACCATCTACATTCATATCTTATAAATTATCGACCCAGCTATGTAATTTACTACAGTGGATATTGTATCATTTGTATCAATTTGATCTTGCCTGTAAACTGGCATGCCTCATGTAACAAACTGTTATTTGAGAATAAATTATTATTATTATTATTATTAAACTGCATATCCTAACGTTACTGCACTGCCTTATGGATATAACCTTTAGGTAAATAGATCCAGGTGTGGCCCCATAAGAATTTCACCTGTTTCGGTCTACACACCTGGGTAGTATTACAGTCCCCACACAAATCAATGATAACTGCTACTGGCTTTATTGTTATTGTGTGGCGCACATGTACTTAATGCCCCCTTATACCAATGTTTCTGTGTTCAATTAACAGTAATAATAATAATAATGATAACATGCAAGAATATGGTGTTGAAAAATATCATAAATTAATAGTAACGCATAGAGATGTATTTATAACAAGAGTCAGTTAAAATATAGAAATTTAGTTAAGTCGCGATTGATTGATGAATATCAAGCTGATAAATATTTATATCTAATTAATAGGAAGTTAAATCAAATGGATCATAGAAGAATTTGTAAGGCATTTTTAAGATTAATAAAGAATTGGACCTTGAATGTGTTATTGAATACGTATCAAGTATTGTCAGTACTGTACATGAATAAAATTTATTCATGATTATTTCGTGTTAGTTGGTGACCAGTTTTGTTTTGTTTTTCTTTTTCAATAATCTCTCTGTTCAATTTTTCATTTGTTCTAAATTAAAACATGAATTTATGATAAAAATCAACGGATATTATACTAATTGAATGGAATAGATTTTAAATACGAAAAATTACAAAATCCCACATAGTATTAGCATGTTTAAGAGTTTATGTATTCTATTCTCTTAGTGTATAACCTATTAGGGAATTGTGAACATAGATAATGATAATTAATTTTCTCATTAGTTGTTTGAATCTTCTCATTGATGTTTACGACTGTAATTGATCAGTCTCTTATTAGCATATGTGCATCCTGTACGGACTGTCTTAATATTGTCTGAAATCAAAATCATTAAAATGTTAGACTGAATCGAAATTCACGCCATTGTACATGCTAACGGCTATCAGGACTCAGTAGCTAAGTAGATAGCATGATGGCACTTGAAGCGAGTCCCAGGGATTCAAGCACATTCAATTGAAGATTCCCAGCATAGGGCAGAAAGCCCGTCATTATTTCTACTGCTAATCACCGTCCATCATCTCTGCTTATAAATATTGATAGCTCGATTCATTGAATAGACAAGATTTAAATAGGATGAAATGAATATTTCGGGTTTCATTCCTAGTGATAACTTGAAATTTTAAGTTCTACAATATACTGACAGCTTAAAATGTTTTCGAATCTGTTCACTAACTGATTGAATTCGTTGCGTGATTTATTCTGACTTAATAAATATTTAAAGTATTGAATATGAAAGATGATTTCAATTCTATGTTTTACAACTTACGTTTTATTTTTCTAGCAATATCCCAACTGAATTTACTGAAAACTGAAATAAAAAATTGAATTTAATCATTTTCACCTTGGTCGAATGAATTTTTTTATTATAATTCATCGACGATGTGGTCGAACATCTGGGCTACCTGTTCCTGCCATCTAGATATTTCAACAAGTTATCTAGTTTTGTTTGGTTTATTACATCATTTTAGCGGTTAATCGCATGACCTATTCAGGTACGTTTGTGCAAATTGTACAACTTTTCATTGTACAAGTTATAAAAGGCTCAGTCAGATAAATTGTGGTTGCTGGTAATATGTATTCAGCGAAAAGAATGTCCCTAGTTTAAATGTCGATTGATTGGACTGCTAACATCTAACTGGCGATCACTCATTTATCGTTAGGATCGACTAAAAAGTAAGAAACGGAATCTTGTGCTGAGAATCCTATATTGTACCAAAAATATGATATTGAATAAAGCTACTGATAATAATAATAATCTAATTAACAAAAATGAAAATAAAATTTGACTCAGTTGAATGTAGAAAATATTGCAGTCATAATGAAAACCAGAATTGAATTAAATGTGCACAGTTTTAACAAACTTGATTTGTTGATTTAATCTTAGTAGTGCAATTTATGAAATCCAATTCGTCGACGAGTCAGAACTCGTGAACTGAAAGCTTCGGATATCAATGTTAATTTTATTACTGAGATAAAAATCACAATATGTTATCTATTCACCTTTCAAGTTTTGGTAACTGTTAATTTGCACATTAATGATCATTTGTAAATATTTGCATACGTGGGAACGTGGATAATGTGCATGTTATGGAATAAAATATTAAGCTAACCGTATAACAAATATATTAGAATACTGAAATACTTATCTTAGAAAGACCGGTCGAAATATTTGTAACCCAGGTGGATTACATCGTCAAGTGAAAAGTGAAAAGATTCCTTAAAATAACGATGAAAACTGTCTAATCTTTAAATTTTTCAATTTAGACAACACCATCTGATCTTAAGATAATCATTTGTACGATCTTCAACTGAAAAGAAATTCTAAAAAGCCACTTTCTTGTACAAGTTAGTTGATGATATGTATTCAAAATTCATCTATCGTGTACTCAAATATAAATAATATCAATGTAATTTACTTACACAAATGTTTACTAAATTCTGCTTTACAGTGATATAAATCACCTAATTTTGTGTTGAGAAAGATAGTGCCTGTAACAAAAATGTGAAATTTGGAAAGCAATCGATCATTTTGTTGTATTTATTGTAATGCCTTATTCGAATAAAACATTAAAGTATTATAATAAATAATATCAAAGTATATTTTGTAGACGAATCCTATGTGAACTATTTGCATAACTTCGACTGAATAAACATGTAGTGTTTATTTACTAAAATTTTTATTTAAACACACAAACATTGGTACAGGGAGGCACCAAGTAAATATGTGCCACATAAATCATTAAATTTGTGCAAGGCCTGGGAAACTGCATGGGTGCCCCAACTGAAGCGGGTGATACTCTTAGGATCTGATCCACAAGGCAGTGGAGCAATGTCGGCAGACGCAGTCCCATGGTAGCCGGTGACCAACAAATGGTTCATACGCCATTTGTTTCTTCAAGATACTGGAGCTCATGTGCACCATTGGTTTGGAATCAAAGTTTTCCAACTCAACTAGGTGGACTCACCGTGTCTACGAACCCGGTTAAGTAGCCAGACATTGATTTTTCATCCTCTCAATTTCGTAAACAACAGTAATGCCGCGAAAAATCGGTGAGTATGAATTTCCGGACAGCCGTTGTATACACGTGATCATGTGAGAGCATTTCGAAGAGGAGAGCTGGTTCTCCCTACCCTCGGCCGCACCAGGGCATTTGAGGACAAAAAACGTCATAAGTTTTATTATTTCCCTCCAATTTGACTTTCCCTGCCGATTTAAGATTAAAATTCAATGCGAAGACCACTATTTCCGAGCGTCTGGTTTTCCGAAGGATATCATAGTTTTCCGTAAAACTGGTATTTACTCTGTCTAAGCCGTGGTCAGTGAGGGCAGAAACAGAAATGACGACGGGGTGTATTCTAATCACTCGGACTTATTGCTATGCAGTTGAAATGAACATAAGTGGCTTACAATAGGAATCCAGTCTAGGAGCACTTGTTCAGCTTTCAAATTTAGTGGTTTATCCACAACTGCAAGACTACGAAAAGTTCCGCTGTATTTCCAGATACACAAAGGGCACATTGCACTGGCTCAGTGAGGTTAGGCGAAACACCGAACGAGGATCCCGTATGTGTATTTCAGACACACGTTACTACACTGTGCAGTTATCAATAGGACTCCGATCTCAGACGTTGAATTGCTGTTTTTAGTTTTACTGCTTTCAATCCAGCGTGACATGGCAGGAACTAGAGGAATGAACGTTCCAGCCAATATAACCCCACTGTGTTATGATGATATGTAAGCCCGACAACCAAGTCAAGATAGCAGTTATGGTAGTGTAACATGTCAACAGAAAATAGAATAGACTATATTACCTCCAAACAAACTACAAATGTTAACTGTATAAGGTGAAACCTGTTTCATCGTTGAGTTAAATTTACAAAAACCTGTATAGTGTTGAATAAAACTACTACAATATAGTTCACAAATTAATCTCTTTTATAATGTAAAATTAAATAAATTTTGTAAAATGTTATTACTTTGATAAAGTTCTAGTGGTATATTGTTGTAACACGCGAAATCAACACGACTATCTCTTTCTTCTAATTAATTGTGGAAAAAAGAAAGAAAATTGGAACCAATAGTCAGTGGGATGAACTGATGTTCAATTTGTCAGTCCCTAGTATCATCATCTGATATTATAATTAAAAAAAAAGACCATTGAATGTTTCCATTCATATATAGGCATACAAAATTCTTCATATATCCATCGACGTCCCAGTGTAATCAAATATACAAAGGCTTCAATTGTTAACATTATAGTTCAATATGACAATAAATAAACTGATTATCACATATTTGTTTCTCTTGTAAAAGTTTGAAAATTGATGACTTCATAACAAAATAACGTTATCCCTAACAGTCTCATGTTATTTTCTTAGTGTAATTGTCAATGTTGTCAGCTTATAATGAAGACAAGTTAATACAAGTGTTCTCAGTTTATTTTACAACTTGTAATTGACAAATATTCTTTAGTAAGAAACATTTCCAATGTACATATTTCCATCCTCTTTTCCTGAAAGGAAGTTAAAAAGAGGAATGCCAAAGAACCCATTACGTCATGAAATAAAAGCATATATGAAAAGGATGAGTAGCAACTGGAAAGAGCTGGAAAGGATTGCCCAACACAGGGTTTGATGGAGAGTGATGGTGGATGGCCTATGCTCATACACGAGGAGTAAAACGCGTACGTAAGTAAGTATTTCCATAAACATAATCATATAAATGATACGTTTCAGCTCAGATCTGAATGAAAACATTTATAGGTCATTAAACAGTATCTTTTAAATTGTAATTGAAATGTGGAACTCAGAATAACTGTCTGTCAAACTTCGAGAACTACCACAACCATCATCAAAAGAGCTCAAGTATTTATAAACAGTTGTCTGTGCAAGATACCGAATGGCCGTTGGTCGGATATCATCAGCAATAGCCTACTGTGTTAGTAAATAAACCAACTCCTAACTGAAGAAGAAATTAATAAAAGACATTGGAAGTGGACAAGTCACACATCGAGGAAATCACCGAACTGGACCACGAAACAATCTCTTAACTGGAAACGTGAAGAAAAAACGGGAAGGAGGAAGGCCAAATTTCACATTGTGACGAGAATCGGTAGCAGACACGGTAAGGGTGAATGTCAACTGGAAGCAATTGGAAAGGATTGTCCCGGACACATTTGGATAGAGAATGCTGTCGGGTTGTCTGTGCTTCTCTACGAAATGTAACAGGCGTAAGTAAGTAAACAAGTTCTAATTGAAATACCTAAAATATGTATACATATTTTGCTAACAGACAGAAACTGAAAAAACCTAGTTTTTCTACCAACACTATTACAAATGCTTCTTCAGTAACTTTCATTACAAACAACAAAATAACGAGATAACTTCACTACATGATAAAGTAAATTTCATCAAATGGGAGCAGTAAACAGGGGGAATGTCAATGCAATAAGGTGCATCATCACACCTTTAAAGTACATATCTTACTTTCATACTGCTTGATTTGTCCTTGAAAACAGTCTATAAGTTCAGTGTGGTTTTCTTTCAGTTTTGAACCTAATAAAATTAGTGGAGTCAAAATATTCGTCAAATTCCTTAAAATATGTTACTATACAAAAGCAATTAACTGCATGGTAAATAATTCAACGATAATTGATTTCAACACAGATAAAATCTTGAACTTACTAGTATAATCTAAGTTGCCTTTCATGTAGTCTATGATTTCTGTAAATTTTATATCAAGCAACATGATGTGTAATAATAATGTTTCTCAGTTTCATGGAAAGAATGATACACTAGTTATTGAGGAAGAAGTGAATTGAACAGAATATCATTTACAGTTCCCCCCTTCCAGTCAGACAAGTTGGTGAATCTTAGTAGGTCCTTCTAGAAATAAACAGGCCACATTGAAGCACGGCACAACTACCGATGTTAGAATACCTGTTTTTGCAAGCAGTTGGGTGTTTGACCCGTAAAGAACACTTTTGTTAACTTTTTGTCATTTTTCCATCCAAGAGTAGTTGTGATGTGTTTCTTTGTGGAGTTCGTAATCGACTTGACGGCATCGGTCGAGTAGGTGATTAGCTCGATCTCTACTACTCGGATTATCGCTCACGTTAAGTCAAGAGTCGTCCGTCCCATTATCCAGGAGGCGCAACGCGGCCATGTGAATCGGATTTGGCCTCATTTACAGATTACGTGTTAAAGTAAAAATAATTACATTTCTTTGTGAAATAAACTTGGGTCAGATCACCGAACAAAATATTGAATTTACTACAAATTCATTCACTGATATTTTTTTAAATACATTCTTCCTCCTTGATGTATTATATTAACTCACTACCCAGATACTGGGAAACTATTTGTTCGAAACTAGACGAAAGTTATTACATATTATGTTGCAATTATATTTTGCTTATATGTTTTCTGAAAGCACAACAGTTTCTTTCTATATTGAATGAAAAAACGAAACTTCAATGAAAAACTAGGGAACTTAATAAACTTAAAGTAAGTCTTCTAGGTCAATCTCCATTTGTATATTAATCCTTTGTAGTAAAATAGGCATGGCAAGTTTCTGGAAACGTAGGAATAGGTATAAGTGTGTGTAAGAAGTGTTAAACTGAAATCGGAGCTTCACGAGGATAATCAGAATGAATACATCTGCCTTATTGAAAAAAACCTTATGCCTTGTCAACTACGATTACAACCTTGCTCCTTAATACTTACCATTTGTACTACAACATATCTCAAACTAACGGTTATATTTATGTAGATATGGTTGCACTGTCACACAGGTCCCAACTACCTCAATTAATCCGAGGCATATTATTGTTATAATCTTAACGACTCACTAAATCGATCTAATTCCCTACGTCTTACCTTAGCAATACTTATCTCCCAATCTTAACATATAAGAACAACCATTTGAAAACACGTATAATTAAAAGTAAACAACTTAAACGTGCATTCTACAATAATCAGTAAAGCTTATCAACCATACCCGAACACACAACATGAAGATATGCATATCCATACTGAAGGTAAAATATAAATATTCTAATCCTACAGAACATGTGATGCATTTAGACCAATGAATCATAATCTTAGTATTCACATTATAGAAGAGGATATGATGTAATAAAATCGTATTAACTTTGTTCTTCTTGTTGTTGTGATTTGATTTTCTTATACATTAGACAATTTCTTCATAATTATTCCATGAAAGTGCGGTGACCATAAATAAACATACCAGTGAACAGAGTTATTCCTTTTTCACTCTCATAATATATTCTTTGGCATTCAATTACTAAAATAGAAATATTAATTGATCAGTAAATTGTTATCTAACAACTTACATTTATCAAACACGACACCATGATTTTCCAGTTGAACAGTTAATTCATCTATAAAAATGTATCAAAAGAAAATAATAACATTAATGTTTTGATAAACGAGGTCGATAAATACTTTTGTTTACATAAATTACTATTGAAAAACTTTGTTTATTTATTTGGACATGTAAATATTGAGATGCAGTTCCATGGTAGCCCGTGACCAACAATTAGTTCATATGCCATTTGTTTCTTCGGGATGATGTAGTCCATGTGCACCACTGGTTTGGAATCAAGATTTTCTAACTCCCCTTGATGGACTCACCGTGTCTGCAAACCCGGTTAAATCGCCGGATATTGATTTTTCATCCTCTCAATTTCGTAAATAACGATCGCGTCGTGAGAAAGCAGTTAGTAGGACTTACGTGTTAGTGGCTTTATATGCGTGGCCATGTGAGAGCATTTGGAGAGGGAGAGCGGACTCTCCCCATCCTATTCCATAACTGATTGAACTAGTAAACTATTTTGAAAATTAAAGTTTCATTGCTAGTGGTTAGTGAATATTTTTGGTTATATCATATTCCAAAATGAAATAGTATTTGTTAGTTTATACTCATTAGTTATTAATTAGTAGGCATTACGTCCACCATATGTTCCTCACTTTTATATATACGATAACTAACTACAGAGGCATTCTTAATAAATGTACGGATAAATTGAGTACATAGTTTCACCGCTAAACAAGCATAAGACTGTTTGAAATTGAAACGATTTCATACAAACTTTATTAATGGTGCTTTAATCTTATCTCAATCTAAATACTTTCCATTTGTGCTATTGGATTCACTCATTCTATCTCAGTTTCTATCATTTGAAACCATCTCAGTAATTCAGCTCACTTGTCCCTGACCTCAGATCGCTTTTTTAGTTATGAGACCATAATTTTATTCTTGTGAATTTTATCACTTATCAGTAGGTCAGACAGTGTTTTAACACACTGTGTTCGCAATATAAACAGTTTTCTAACATCGATATAATTTTTCCAAATTTACGCAGTTATTGATCAACTATAGAGTGTAAACAGTATTCCAGAAACACAAATGATTGCACAAGTCCAGTGATTTCATTAACAAACGAAACCGATAGTGATTTTCAACTCGCGATTATAGTAGTATGCTTAAAATGCTTATTAGTTTGACATGGACTCTGCCTGTTGCTCATCTAGAGTAACTGCCGATCCCAGGATCGTGCTTACTGAGAAGGTTTGCTAATGAGGTCACGAACACCATCCCGTATAAAACATCCTTGCTAACGAAGGATAACTAGAATGAACAGTTTAAAATATTTAAACTCTGTCCTGGAAGTTGGAGGAAAAATTATGACGCCTCATGATAAAAACTGAGATTCTTCGGAGGTCACAAAGCTGATACCCTTTCTAACAGTCAGAGCAGCAATTTTGATAGGTACATGGAACGTCCGGACAACGCGAGAGACCATAAGGACCAGTCAAATAGCTGTGGAAATGAGAAGATACAAATCGGCAGTACTCGGAATCAGTACCATAAACCCATTGGACCCAAGCTGGACAGCAAAGGCTATGTACGCTAGAGATTCTGATGTACTACTGTCACGAAGAGGACAATGCTCCGCACACTCAGGGAGTTGCTCTGATGCTGTTCAAAGAAGCATGTAATGCACTTATACGATGGAATCTTATGGAAGCAGGATCAGCTAAGCATCATTGTAAACAATGAAGGAGGTAGTCACGATGAATGTTATCCAATCTTATGCATCAACCAATGGTAGCAATGATGACCATGAGTATTTTTTTACGAGAGGCTTCAATAGATCATAACGAAGTGTTCAGGAAATGCTCTGACAATCCCGATGAGAGATATAAACGCCAAAGTCGAGTCTGAAGATATCATGGGATGTGATTGACGGACTGGGATAATGAACGAGAATGGTTAGGGATTCGCAAATTTGTGAGCACTAAACAAAATGGTTATAGGTGGCACAATATTTCCACACAAATGCATACACAAGGCTGTATGATTATCACCGTATCACATCACGGAGAACCAGATAGATCATGTTTGCTTCAGTAAAAAATTCACGAGATAATGAAGACATGAAAATCAGGAGTGGAGTAGACAGAACTCCAGATCATCACTAACTGGAGGTTGCTAATATGTGAGTGAAGATAAAGACGTATCGGACAACTGGACAAACAGCACTACAAAGGTTCATCGCAGCCATCCTTCGAGATACTAATAAACTCAACCAATTCAAGATAACTCTCAACAACAGAATTCAAGCCTTACACGATCTACTTAAAAAAGAAGAAACTACAATGGAGGACAAATAGAAAGGGATCAAAGAAATACTAATTTCGACGTGTGAGGAGGAGTAAGGCCGCAATAAATATCATCACAAATAATGAATCTGTATCGAGACATTGGTCAAGATTCAAGAAAGTAAGAACAAAGAGACAGCGACTAACAACAGCCGAACAAGTACGGAGGAAGTCAAGGCACAAGATGAATACGCAGAAGCAAACGAGCACGTGAAAAGGAGAATTGGAGCTGTCAGGCAGAAATATGTGAAGACTTAGTAAAGACAGCCGCAATAGCTGCAGAAAGGTGATGACAACCAGTGTTCGTTTGATTAATTAATTTAAAGATAGCATTAATCTCAATGTCTCATTAGTTTCAGTGGTTTTCTTGATAGCTTCGATAGTAACATGGAGTCCATCCATTGCTTTATCCAATACATGATGAACTCCTGTTTCAGCTTTTATATTTGATACAATAGTGTCTTCTGACGCTTTTGACTGGGGACTTGTTTATCTTACTAACTCTTGCCCGAAGGCGGTAGCAGACTGATACTTTATCGTGAAATCGAAACTCAGCAGTGTTGTTGAACATCGCTGTAGCTGGTTGGCTGTGTAAACAGGAAAACCATTCTTCCACTTAAATACAGCAAGTAATGGCTTACGGTCCGTTATTAAGGTGAGATGGCGACCAAATATCATCTTGTGGAACTCTTTCACTGAACAGATAATTAACAGAGGTTCTTTCTCGATTTCACTATAGTTCCGCTCTTTCGTTATGAATGATCTGAGAGCACGTAAGATGGCTTTTTCAGGCCCGTCAGGGAAATTGTTAGGTATTACTAATCCAATACCATGGTTCAAAGCATCGGAAGCAACCAATATTGGTAGGGAAGGATCATAATGCGTCAGTAAGAGATTGGAAAGTAGGCTTTGCTTGATTTTCTCGAAAGATGCCTGACAATTTGCCGACCAATCCCGTTTTTATATTGTTCTCTATCAGGTGGTTTAACGGAGCACGCAGACGATGGAGATTAGGGAGGGGAGCACCATAATGACTGGCCAGACCCAGGAGAGATTGTGAGGTATTGATGTCCCTGGTCGTTTACAGATTCAAGACGTTTTGATTCTTACTGAACTACTGGAAGGATGGCACAAAGCACAGAACTATTAGGTAGAAGCGCGGGAGATTTGAGGGTTAGTAATGCTTTGGCTTTCATGCATTCTTTCAAAACTTTTATAAACACGTAGTGGTATCTTTGTAGTACAGCATTTTTCTGCTTCCACACTAAGGGGTTATCATTTTTGATTCGGCTGCAGATGTTGTTATTCGGATGCTCTGCTAGTTTTTCTTTCCCTATCAGATCTAGTCACAACAAGCCGAGTGCTGGATTTTTGTAAGGTATACTCCTGCATTACATTTAGGAACAGTTCAGGGAACAAGTGACTCACGCCGGTCAAAGTAAGAAAAGCAGTCTCCAAGGAGGCCTGCCTTAAACAGAATCTCAAGGAAAGTAGGTTCTTCTGTTCTCCGTCTCCCAGATGGGACTCAACAGAAAACGCCTGGAAGCCGCAATCACAAGGCTCGATCGTTTTCAAGCGGTAATCATAACCTGCTCTCTCAGATCGTCGACAACCTCCCAGAATTCAACACTAGGTTTGACACAACTGATGTTGCTCCTCCCAGCACCGTTGACGAATGGGTACAGGCTGTAAGGAAGAAAATAAGTAGCGACATAAAAGGTGATCCTACTCCCGCGAAAGTAGTCGTAAAATCGAAAGCTGATCATAGCGACAGATCAGCTATTTTTCATAGAATCAAGGCGAGCGGGAGCTCTGAACCTAAAGTTCGTTTTGAGCATGACATTGTGCTGATTAAGCAGCTGCTTAATCAACTCATGCATCAAAATATCACCGGGGTCACCTTGCTGAAGGTGTACAGACTAGGGAGTCTAACGGACTCGAAACCAAGTCATTCCAAACTGCTTAAAGTAGTATTCAACTCTTCAAACCAACGTGACCTAATTTTACAGAATGGACACAAACTAAAGGGTTCAGGAGTCTTTATCCGAAAGGACTTACTGTTGGCAGACCGTGTCAAAAGACGGGAAGCCGAATAAGAACTACAACTTGAGTTATGCGCTGGCGAAAAGGACCTGAAAATTGTACATTTTCGGGTTGTAAGTTTTCGACAGATAATGATGCCGAAGCCACTCTGGGTGAAGCACGAAGTCACTTGAACCGGCTTTGGATCTGTTGCACCAATGCAGGAAGCTTACTTAATAAACGATCGGAACTAGGTGTACAGATTGACTCTACAAAGCCAGTAACAGAACCCTGGCTGACACAGGCTATAGATAGTATGGAACTTGATTTAGAGGGTTGTACGTTAGTAAAGGACGATAGAACACAAAGGCGTAAAGGAGAGGGAGTAGCTTTATTCATTAGGAATGCTATCCCGTTTACCATTATCGATAGTGTATCCCATGAGAGTGGGACGTTAAGCAGTCTCAATACTTGGTCCCAAAATGGTCGTTGTCTAATCCTAGGGGACTTTAATGCACCTATGGTAGACTGGGAAAATCTGCAAACTAAATCGTCAGAAAATGCCTTCGAGAAGGAATTAGTTGATGGGGTTATAACATATACCCTAGTGCAACATGTGAAAGAAGCGACAAGGTACGATCCGGACACTGAATCATCAATACTAGATCTGATACTGACTCACTGTGAGGATGATGTTGCGAAACTCCATTATATGCCAGCCCTAAGTAAAAGTGATCACGCAGTTTTAACTTTCGACTTCCATATAACTGTCAATCATGAGCACGCGTCAGCAAACATACCGGGCATCAAGCACTCAGCATCGTTATTAGATTGGACAATAGACCCAGAGTCCTCAGTTGAAACGGCCTGGGACGCATTTCGAAATTCATACTTAAAAGTTACCACACCCCACATCCCTTGGACTATACCAAGGGAGCCGAGAAACTCTCCACTGTGGTTCAGCAGGGAGGTCCGCATCCTACTCCGTAAAAGAAGAAAAATGTGGGGTATATTTAGGTTACTGGGGACTGATGAGACAAAATCTCGGTATCAAAAAGCTCGGACCACTTGTGCCTCAACCCTTCGTAAGTCTAGAAAGTTGTACGAAGAAAAACTTATTAAGGAATCCATAGAACGTCCTAAACGCTCTTATTCCTATATAAACCAAAGGACATTGAGCAGAGGAAGTATTCTTGCTCTATGGGGAGACAGTACTGCCGCATCATTAGTGAAGGACGACTTTGGTAAGGCTCAAGTGTTCTCAAACTATTTTAGCAATGTATACACCATAGAAGCACCCTTCCCGTCAGCGCATACAGATCCCGCGAAACATACATTGGATAGCGTGACCATCAAAGAACTCGATGTCTTTAGTCTACTAAATAAGCGTGACATAGGTAAATCCACGGGGGCCCGATGAATTACATCCCAGGCTACTGAAGGAATTATCTAACTTCGTTGCAAGCCCTTTAGGTATGTACTTTAACCTATCCGTTACGCAGGGTCGTTTACCAAAAGACTGGAAAAACGCCATAGTAAGTCCTGTCTTTAAAACAGGTATGAAACACAAACCTGAGAATTACCGCCCCGTTAGCCTAACTAGTGTGGTTGTTAAAATCTTAGAAAAAATTATTCGGAAGGAGCTGTTTAAGTATATTGATAAAAACCGAATTCTTTTGGAGAAGCAGCACAGCTTCAGAATAGGTTATTCTTGTCTCACTAACTTATTAGTGGTTCGTGAAAGCTGGTGCTCTTTTAAGGACCAAAAGCTACCTGTAGATGTAACCTTCATTGATTTCAGTAAAGCTTTTGACAAAGTTCCGCACAACCGGCTGTTATATAAGTTAAGAAAAGTCGGGATTGGAGGCAATTTATTGATGTGGATAAAAGACTTCTTAGTTGGGCGTCAACAAAGAGTTCGGGTGAACTCAAAGTTATCTAGCTGGGGATTTGTGCTTAGTGGAGTGTTCCAGGGTACAGTTTTGGGGGCAGTGCTATTCCTCTTGTACGTAAATGACCTTCCTCGTCTCCTATCATCATCGGTCTTGCTATATGTTGTAGATGTCAAGATATGGAAAACGATACGATGTAAGAGTGATAGCTTAGAACTCCAAAATGACCTGAAAAAATTATCTGAATGGTCTAAAACCTGGTAGTTGCCGATAAATACTTCCAAGTGTGTTGTGATGCATATCGATCATCAAGGCACAGATACATACATAATGAATAACACTGAGCTACCTGTCGTTCAGACATATAATGACTTAGGAGTTATCGTTAGCCAAGGCCTAAAGACTACTGCACACTTCCGTGCATTAGCCGCCAAAGGTTTTAGAACCTTATGGTCAATACATAGGGCTTTTAGTCATGTCGACGCTGAAACGTTTTTAACTTTGTATACAGTGTTCGTACGTCCTAAACTTGAGTGCTGCACACAAGCGGATAGCCTCTGCTTAAAAAAGGACAGTGAGATTCTGGAAAAGGTTCAGAGAACGGCGACTAGGCTGGTTCCCGGAATAGCGAAGCTTCCGTATGAAGCTTGACTGGCCAAGATGAACCTTTTCTCGTTGTCATATCTCAGAACTAGAGGGAATTGATTACAGTTTTCAAATTGATTAGTGATAAATTCGCACCAGACATGCCCTCATTTTTCTTGTCTTCCAAAACACAGAATTTATAAGGACACTCCAAAAAAGTTCACAAGCCCAAAACAAATTACTTTTCATCTGAATATCGACTTTTCCATCGAATCATCAACGAATTTTTTACCTTAGCACTTTGTTGAGGCTCCGTCAGTCGACTCTCTCAAAATGAAGTTGGATCGACTGAGATATCACCATTTCCAGGACTAACACAGGCCATCAGGCCTCTTGTCTCTCCCAAACTGAAACTGGTAAATACTTTCTTTGGCGGTAAATTCGTGTTCTGCTATGAGATACTGATATTTTGTGAGTTATCGTACCAGATCTGTATTTCGTGAAATAAGGTCTCAAAGAATGACTTCAGTGTGTTCTTTCCCTTCCAGCCGGGTTCTTAATGACGCTTGCGCTGTCATTTAGTGCAACGATATCTTTTATATGGACAGAACCTCTTATAATACCAAACTTCACATGACTAGCATGGAGGTGAAGGCTCATTGTCTGTGTGCGATAATTTTTATGAGCATAAATTCTTCTTTTTGTTAACAATATGAACACATGGCGACTTGCTGTTATGTTCAACCACGAGGATGTCATGTTTCAAGTTCACCAATCTCTGGCACACCATGGTTACTTCCTGTAGCGAACGTCAACACAATTCTAATGTACGAGGCTAAAACTTCGAGAACCACCACAACCATCATCGAAAGAGCTCAAGTATTTATAAACAGTTGTCTGTGCAAGATACCGAATGGCCGTTGGTCGGATATCATCAGCAATAGCCTACTGTGTGAGAGAACAAACCAACTTCCAACTGAAGAGGAAATTAATAAAAGACATTGGAAGTGGTCAAGACACACATCGAGGAAATCACCGAACTGGACCACGAAACAATCTCTTAACTGGAAACGTGAAGAAAAAACGGGAAGGAGGAAGGCCAAATTTCACATTGTGACGAGAATCGGTAGCAGACATTATTATTATTATTATTATTAATGGCTTTATTCAATATTATATTTTGGTACAATATAGAATTCTCAGCACATGGTAAGGGTGAATGTCAACTGAAAGCAATTGGAAAGGATTTTCCAGGACAGATTTGGATGAAGAATGCTGGTGAGGTATCTATGGTCCAGTACGAGAGGTTGTTAAGTTCGCTGCGTCATTAACGCAGAAAACGGTTTTTAATTAGGACACTCGCATGTATATTACACTCGCATTTGAAAGTAAGAAAATAGAGCAAGACTGTTGAAGCGCTTGTTTAAAAAGAACCAACATGTATAGAAAATCATCGGTTTTTACAGATATTACCGTTTGTTATATCAACATTATAATTTAGCTCATCTGCAAAGAGGCATGTTATGCTACTGTTCAATAGTATCATGCCACGTTGATATTCCATCATGTTCTGATTGGATGGAAACTCTTCGGCTCCTCTAGGGCCTCTGAAGGCTCCGTTATAGTTCTCGGAAGCCGTTCCAACAGGGTTAACAGGCGTAAGTAACTGGGCAACTTTGATTTGCATGTTTTTTATGCCATCATGTGATATATACTACATGCACCTCGTGTTTAACTTAGTCGATTTGAGTATAGTACGTGGTAATATATGGGCATAATTATAGAAAACCTAAACACCTAGCAATTTAAATGAAAGTTTCATGGGGTTTTATTTCACGTTGTTAAGTGAATCAATCAGTCGAATCAGCATTTACAAAAATAAATCGTAATGATTTACTTACTTATGACATTTTGGGCATCATCTTCTGCAATTTGTGCTTTCTTGTCTAATTCAGGTAATTTTCCTGTGACAAAATTATATAGGCGTATATTATAAACTGTATGTTTTTTCTTGATATATATCATAAAGCATTTGGTTCGTAGAACACAATTTTTTGACACACCACGTTTATATTATTTTATCTTAAATTCGAAATTTCCAAATGAGACTTATATGTTCAGTAATCTGATAGTTGACTACTTGTTATAACGAATTAATATTTTTTTGTAGAACTGATGTTTATTTTGAGACCGGAACCATCGATATCCCTGTGGTTTAGACCAAAAGCCAGTATGTTAGTTTGTTTGTAAACTATAATCAATTCTGGATCACATAATAATGTGATCTATATTAATAATAGATAATATTCGTAGAGTGAAGATTTCAGTGTACAAGGAAGATCACTGCATTTTGAGAAATGAAATTCTAACATTTCCTCAGTTTGCTGATAAGTATACACGCATAAGGCTAACAATTATGAAACTCGTCTTCAGTATTTCTTAGTTATTATCTCGTGTCAATAAATATAGAACAATATTAACCATGATTCTAAGCCACTTACAATAGATGCCACATTGAGATTTTATAAGTGGAAATTGTCCAACACATTCTCCATACCAAAAAACATTACAATCTTTAAAGGTAGTAATGTCTTTTGTTGTAGGTAAACTGTTGATATGTATTTTAAAAGTGAATCTATGTAAACTGAGGTGGCATTATTTCAGCGATTCAACATATTCAGGTTATATACTTACATTAAAACTACAAAGTTGTTATCTTCAATACACCAAGTTATCACAAATCAATTACTTTTGGGATATTTATTAAAGTATCCCAAAAATTATTCTGTTGAGTCTAATGCTATTCTTAAATATGAGACGATATTGTTTTCCTATTGGTCAATATTCACGGTCGCCCTAACTGTATAAATATGCATTGTCTGCAAAGTATGATTATTCTTCTCCTGACCCCATAAAAAATTTTCATCTAACGGTTTATATTCTGATATATTGGACATTGGGGAACAGTATTGTGGTCGTACTGGGATATCTGAAGTTAATAAATCAGTAGAATTTAGAGTAGCTTCCTTGCGGTGCATAATAATTATGAGTTAAAATAGTTTTTACATTGTCTACAAAAAACATTCAATGTGTACTAACCATCATAAAATTTAGCACTGCCTTCAATATCTTCAATAATTTTTGAACATTTCAATTCTTAAAGTCAGAAAAATTCAAATGGTCAAATTCTTGTTCGCATAGTGAATAGATATCATCAGTAAAAATTCTTAACTGGAAGGTCTGTACTGTATAGGCAGAATATCCACATCATCTTATTTAATAGTATGTGCATTTAAATTCACTTGGTATTGTTTAATTGAATCTTCCCACTGATGTTTAAAACTTTGTACCGTTGCATAATCAAGTGGCTATCAGGATTCAGTAGCTAAGTGGATGAGGCGATGGCGTATGAAGCGAATTCTGATTCTATATCCTGAGTAAAGTTCATCCGCCTAGGTACTTACTTACAATATGTGAATAAAGGATTAATTCCCATAGTTAATTATAAAATATCAGTAGAGCAGTCACGTTGTAGTTTCTATTTAGCGTTACGGGTTGGTATTATCTAAATTAACATTGAAAATCAGAAAGCTCTAAATAGTTGTCTCATCTTATATGAAAATCATGAACACGACCTCTCAAGGTGACTGTGCCATAAGTGATTTGATGAAACCCCACTGACCACGACATCCAGAAAACTGCTGCAGCATTATTGCAAATGGATTTAATTTACACATGTAAAAGGTTGGGTTATGGTTCAGTAATTTAGAGGTCAGAGCTCACACATGAAACTAAATCTCCTCATTTTGGTCCATTGTGGGGGTATGGATGCACACTCCTGAAGAGTCCAATACCAGAACGAAACAACTGTCTTACACTTTCTAGTCTTCAGTGATTACTCAGCTCTGATCAATCAGTGGTTTTGGTTGTCAAATTCAACTACATTACAGTTTGACTAAAATTCAGGTTTCTGATGATTCATTTTGCCAAAAAACTAAGCATAATTGAAAGAATATTTGACTGTTGACATTCATGCTGTACTGATTTATATCCATTACTTATTTTCAATGGTTTTATTTGCTGTAAACTAGACTTTTTACTTTGAGATCTTTTGTTGTCATATCTTTGACTCCTGATGAACGATCAACAGTGTTTGTGTCCTACCAACGTTTTAAGAAGCTTCCTAATATAAATATTCAGAAGTCGTTAATTTCTACCATAAATTACTTATGATCATTAACGAGGCATATACAGCATAGCGTAACTAAAATAACATATAGCGTAAACCATCAACTGGGATAACCCCACACATTAATTATATAAACATAATAATTGCTAAATAGTGTTTAATGAAATCGGTCAAGTATGGTGAATGGAATTAGCACGAACGCTTCAAAACACCTACCTTTCTGTATCAGTATGCACAGTAATAGAAAGAAGTTGTTTATACAATAGTGTGCCATGAAATTCGATGTTACTACTTCTGAAGAAAAAATACCATTGATGTTTCTTTTATACCACGAATACAGGCCAAGAATGGACTTATCATAAGCTCATTATTAAGCTAATTATTCTGTCTACATTTATTAACTAAAATCTGATTTTTGTTGACCGTAATTATCATCCTACTAAAACGACAGCTGAATAACTTCAATGTCATATATGTGTGATTTAACAGACACACCCATTCAGAATTATCAGAAATATGCTCATGCAATGTAGTAAAAGATTAGAAACTATTTTCATCACTAAAACTGCAAAGTGACTCCAGCTAAATTATCAGGGTAAATCAGGAATCGCTGTGCAAGCAATTCAGTCTATGCATGAGACTCTCCATCAATGCCCATTCTTGAACCTCAACGGTCGTCCAAAACTAGCACTTTTGACCTCACATGGGTATGCTTAATCTCTGGACCACTAATCATGTATCCAATGATCTACATGTCTAACTTTAAATTATAAAATTCCTACAATTTACACAATCTGCCATATACAAGGAAAAATTATTAATTATTAAGATGATACTGTGATGTCAATTGCAACAAGAAACTGAATAAAAGAATTATAATAAGCAGTATTTACTGAAATAGATATACCGTTCTATGAAATAACACGAGTTGTAATTAGTGCGTTTTATTTCATAAAATATACCTATGATCTCGCTTGTCATCAAATTATGGTTTGCAACATTTAGTGACTACAATATTGAAGATAGTAATGTGGTGCATACTACTGATGTCGATAAATATGAATAACATATAACATCAATAGAAAGTGAAATACCTGGTGACAGAAGGTTAAGAAGATCAAAGGAAAGAGAATGGCAACAGAAAATTATTGGTGTGGAAACGAAGAAACAATGAAGTTTGAGACAATTGATTGACACTTCGCAAATGAAGTATTTACAGTACGGCTCTCAGATTTTACTTAGAGGTTCTGTAATTTTGTGTCCACATATATTCAGTTGTTCCCACTGGTGTTCTTGTTCAATACAGTACTAGGAATACAAGGCAGATGATATAATTTACAATAGTTTTAAATCTAATAACGACATAGAGGGCTATATTTAAAGTGAACGATAGCGCAATTGAGGAAGACCAATTAACTCTTTAATGTAAAACTACAGAGTGCTTTGAGAGAAAATGAAAGCCATACATTAAATACGTAATTTGCACATCTTACATCAGTTGTTCTCTGTATGCTTCATGGTTTTTTCATTTTTGTTTTTATTACAGTTTTTTTCAATTGAACCTTACCAATCTTCTTCATACATATATTCCTATTGGTGCGACATACTACTTATATCTATCAACATAAGTATCATAAAACATGCATGCATTGACACAAGTTATGAAAATTAAAACTGATAATACTGTACATTGTTTAATGAATTTATTTGTTAACCATACTGTTACGCTTTTACTTAGGTAGGAGTATTGCAAAAGCATAATGCATTATTTTACATACAATGACAAAAGTTTTTGAGTTATATGATTTTTAATAATTGAATTCATGAGTCGATTAGAGCTGGACCACCATAGAAAACTTGGAATCACTGGATGACCGTTTTGTCTTATTATGTGACTCCTCACTAACTGAAGAGGAACTTGTTGAGAAATTTTTAAATATAAGTGTGAATATGATCCATAAACAGTAGTAATGAATAATCTATTGACAAGGTGAATTAGTTACCACCTCTAAGATAGCATTAAAATAATTTATGAATTAACATTCATATATGAAGTGATAGCAGATATGTTAGATTGTTTGACATAATTTTAGGATTCCAGTCAGCAATAGATGCTTATGGGTTATGAATATTTCCACTATAGTGAACGAGAACACAAGTCGGGACAATCAAATGTCTTACAATGTCCAATAATCAAGATCAATTTCAGCGAACTGATCAATTATTCCAAAGAACAAAACAGGCAACCTCACAGAAAGAAATAAGTTTTTGATATAATTTTATATTGTACTTAGTTGGCAACTTCCCAATTCATTAGTTCTGTAGCGCACGAGAACACAAGTGGAAATAATCATATGTATTTGAATTCAAAATTACAGAATATCTAAGTAAAATTTGAGAACCGTATAGTAAATTCTTCATTTGCAAAATTTCAGTCGATTATCTCAAGCGTGACTGGCTATTCTTTTCCACATCAATCACTTTCTATTCTCAGACTCTTCTCTTCGATTTTCTCAACCTTCTGCCACCAAATATTTCACATCCGTTTGACAATGCATACTACTTATATCTGTCGACATCAGTAGCACACACCACACTACTGCTTTATATACACCACTAAATTTTACTAGGTTCAATAGGAAGGAAAGCTGATCTATCTATCTATCTATCTATCTATCTATCTATCTATCTATCTATCTATCCATCCACACATCTATCTATATATCTATCCAATGCGAACTACGTATCCAAACAATATATTTGATATTATTCGAATATTACAAAGCTAACAAACACACAAAAATTGAACCATACTTTTGTAATTACAACTATCACA